GCGGGTCGGGCGGGCGGACCCTAACCGGCGGGCGGGTCGGGCAGCGGACAGGACCCTAACGGCCGGGTGGGCGTCGTCGGTCGCGCGGGCGGGACATTAAAGTATGATGCGTAATCGAAGTAGCACGCGTGTCATTCTAACGGGCGGGCGGCGTGTCGGGCGGGCGGACCCGAACAGGCTGGCGGTTCGCGCTGCCGAGGCCACAGTTCTTCGCACATGGCGCCATATTCGCGCTGCCGATGCTCGAATCCATCGCAAAGTGCCTTATATGCACGTTGCCGAGGCAGCAATCCTTTGTAACTTGCACAGCTCTCGGGTTTCCGACACCACGATCCCTAGTACATTGCACAATATTCGCGCTCTCGAGGCCACAATCCCTTGTACACTGCACCACCATATTCGCGTCCCCGAGGTCACGATCGCTGGTAACTTAAGCGGTATTCGTGCCTCTGAGACCACGAGCCTTCGAAAATTACACAATGGTCGCGTCCCCGACGCCACGATCGCTTGTAAATTACGCCGTGTTCGCGTCGACGAAATTACGTTCCCTCGCAACATACGCCGAGTAACCCCAAGACCGTCCAAGCCGCGCGATTTCGCCCGACGTAGCCTCAGGCAGCCCACAGTCGATCCCTACACAGCACGAGGGGAAGTTCGCACAAGGCAGCATAGAGTTCAACGCTATCATCTGAATTTCAGTTTGTCTTGGAGATTACCAAGAGTGCTCGCACGAGGTTTCGATACTGCTTCACGACGGCGCCCAGGCACCCCAACCTGGCTCCTGCATGTTCTATTATGATGGAGAGAGGGCCGGCGGCAGACGGCGAAGCCCATACGGATATATACATATATATATATATATATATATATATATATATATATATATAGATGTATAACAAATATTTCGGAGGTTGGGTGGTATGAGCGGAAGTGACCCCAACCAGGACATCGGTTTCGGTTTCGGTTCGTGTCGTGAGTGCGGGCGAGGCGAAGCTACGCGAGTTCCTGCAAACGTAGAGGCCACATGCAGCCGAAAAGGTTGCCCGCTCCCCCCGCCCCCCCCCCGGCCGGGCGCGGCCCCGTGGTTGTCCCGCGGTTGTCCAATGGTTGTCCCGCGGTTGTCCCGATGGTTGTCCCGTGGTTGTGCCGATGGTTGTCCCGCGGTTATCCCGTGGTTGTCCTGATGGTTGTCCCGATGGTTGACCCGATGGTTGTTTCGATGGTTGGCCCGATGGTTGTCCCGATGGTTGGTCCCGATGGTGGTTTCGATGGTTGTCCCGACGGTTGTCCCGATGGTTGCCCCGATGGGTACTGGGTGTCCCGATGGTTGTCCCGATGGTTGTCCCGATGGTTGTTTCGATCGTTGGCCCGATGGTTGTTCCGATGGTTGGTCCCGATGGTGGTTTCGATGGTTGTCCCGACGGTTGTCCCGATGGTTGCCCCGATGGAAAATACATGGTGTCCCGATGGTTGTCCCGATGGTTGTCCCGATGGTTGTCCCGATGGTTGTCCCGATGGTTGTCCCGATGGTTGTGCCGACGGTTGTCCCGATGGTTGTCCCGATGGTTGTCCGGATGGTTGTCGCGATGGTTGTCCCGATGGTTGTCCTGATGGTTGTCCGGATGGTTGTCCCGATGGTTGCCTCGATGGTTGTCCCGATGGTTTTCCCGATGGTTGTCCCGATGGTTGTTCCGATGGTTGTTCCAATGGTTGTCCCGATGGTTGTCCCAATGGTTGTCCCGATGGTTGTCCCGATGGTTGCCTCGATGTTTGACTCGATGGGTGTCCCGATGGCTGTCTCGATGGTTGACACGTCGCAAATCGACCGCCTTCCCTCCCCCCCCAGCCTCCTTATCATCCGAAGGGTGGTCCTATCGGTATCCACACATATCTGTATATCTATATAGAGATGTACATATATATATATGTATGTATATATATATATATATATATATGTGTGTATATACATGTGTGTGTGTGTGCGTGTGCCCCAGGGTGGGCGTGAGTTCGGTCGGCTGGCGCACCGAGCCGCCCAAAGCAGGTGCACCTGGCTGCCGACAGCTCCCGATGGTTGCCAGCAGCCGGGGCATGCGCGGGGCATCCGTTTGGGCAACTTCGGTGCACCAGACGATGGAACTCGTGCCCCCCTGCAGGATCCCCCCCCCTCTTGGCGGATCCCGAGTAAGGTGCGGTCGGACCGAGGTATAAGATCGAGGTCGGCTCGGGGAGGGTACCCTAATGTTCTTCGTGCTTGTTGGGTGCTGTTGTTCATCCTCGGGGGGGGACCCTCGAGTGGTCCTATGGTTTGGGGTGTTCTGGCCAGCGGAGAGCCTCATGTTCTTGAAGGATATCCGTAAGGGCTTCGCCCCCTGCCGCCGGCCCCCTCTCTCGGAGAATGGGCCATGGAAGAGCTAAGTCATGAGGCCTTGGCGCTGTCGTGAAGCAGTATCGAAACTTCATGCGAAGCCGAGTCGCAATCAGCAAAACCAACTGATCACAAGAGGGGTTACCACACCTGGCGATTGGTAAGACGTGTATGGTTTAAGGGCTTGGTTACCACACCTTGCGATTAAAGGGCCGAGGGAGTTCTCGCAGTTTGGGTTACCACGCCTTGCGATGGATGTGCGTGATGGGTTCGAATTTCAGAAATGTGGCAAATCCCATGTGTTTTTGGACCCTGACCCCGCGGATCTGCGTGAGGGGTGGCACCGAATTTCAGAAATGTGGCAAATCCCTTGTGTTTTTGGACCCTGACCCCGCGGATCTGCGTGAGGGGTGGCACCGAATTTCAGAAATGTGGCAAATCCCGTGTGTTTTTGGACCCTGACCCCGCGGATCTGCGTGAGGGGTGGCACCGAATTTCAGAAATGTGGCAAATCCCGTGTGTTTTTGGACCCCGACCCCGCGGATCTGCGTGAGGGGTGGCACCGAATTTCAGAAATGTAGCAAATCCCATGTGTTTTTGGACCCTGACCTCGCGGATCTGCATGAGGGGTGGCACCGAATTTCAGAAATGTGGCAAATCCCCTGTGTTTTTGGACCCTGACCCCGCGGATCTGCGTGAGGGGTGTCGATTTCGAGCCCCCCAGCAATTCAGACAACGCGCCCAGGTGAGGCTAAAAGTCTTGTTTGGGCCTCCCCCCCCCTCGCGCGGTCAATCAACTAGTTACAGTAACCAGCAAGAAGTCAACTAGTTACAGTGACCAGCAAGAAGCAGAATTGTAACACTGGAAACTACAAGCTACAACTGGTACAGGAAACTGCGAATCACGCGCCTCGCAGCCTGGTGGCCCCACAAGGGGGCCGGCGGATTCTTCTGTCCTGGGTCTGGCCGTACCCATACTGCTACCTTTTTTTCGTTTTCGCCTTTTTGGGGCCTCCTGGGAGGCCCTCGTCGCCACTGCCGGATTCGCCTCGAGATTGTGGTCAGAGTGCGCCTTGAGAGAAGTCTGGGGCGTAGCGATATCCGTACCTATTAGCTCCCCCAAGGGGGGCACGAGGGGGATAGGAGCTTCTGAGAAGCCAGAGGGGGCTTCTCAGGAGGCAGGGAGCTTCTCAGAAAGCCCTTGGGGCTTCTGAGAGGGCGTCGTAGAAGCCGCCCGGGACAATACGTGAAGCCCCTTGGCCTTTCAGAAGGCCCCACCCCCGAGGGCCACCGTTGTCGTCGTCGTCGTCGTCGTCGTCGTCGTCGTCGTCGTCGTCGTCGTCGCGCCGCCAGAAGGCCGACGAGGCCGCGGCCTCGGAGGGCGCCGCCGAGTGCTTCCAGTGCGGCCGCGAGCTCGAGGAGCGGGGGCTGAAACGTCCGGTGGCGAGCGGAGGCAGCGGTCGGTGGCCTTCGGGGGCCACCTCGTCGCCATGGCTGGGCGCAGCTGGGCAAACTGGTGCGTTTTGATGGAGGGTGTTATGCCAGAGGTTGTCCTGTCAGTCTTCGATACGCTTGCCTCGCTTTCGCCTGTTTGGGCCTCAGGAGGCCCTTGTCGCCACGGCTGGGTCCGCTTCGAAGTTCTAGTTGGGACGCACCCTTGGAGAGGTCCGTGGAATAGCAGTGTGGGCATCTGCTAGTTTTCCCATCTCCCCTTCTCAGAGGAGCGTGAGCTGAGACAACGGTAGTTGGCCTTCGGGGGCCCCCCTCGTCGCCACGGCTGAACGCAGCTCGGAAAACGGATGCGTTTGGACCCCGGGAGGGGCGCGGGCGGGGACCGATTGTTGAGCTGCCGTTGTCTCAATTCGCCCAGCGCCGAGAAGCGTGCCCCCGAGGGTGGGGAGGGGCTCTCAGGTTGAGCTTGCGCTGTGTCAGGCTTCCTTTGGCCACGGCATAAACATCCACGGTCTGACCTCCGCGCAGATTTCTTGGATCGGCGCTGCACCCCTCTGGCGCGCCTGTGGCGCCGCCCCTGGCGCGCTCGGCTGTTTTCTTCTTCTATCCTCGCCCCAGAGCCCCATGCCTCAGGGACCTCGTTTTGGAAGTGCCCAGAGGAGACGGCGCAGGACAGGGTGCTCCACTGGCTCGGCAGGTCGCCGCAGTTTGGTTCCCCCTGCTTCAACGCCATGCAGAAGCACTTCCCCAACGCGCTGCCCTCCAAGGTGGTGCACAACCGTTCGAGAACCGTGCTCGAGGAGCAGTACGGCTTCAAGCCTGGGACCACCCTGCTAGGCAGCTCCTTCTGTCCCGACGAAATCAACAATCAGGAGCGTGATCTGGCCTCCGTGATGCGGAAGTACTACGGGCAGATTTTCCCGATGGGCGGTATTGGCGGTGCACCGTACGTTGGGGAGACTGGCTTCGCGGCCTTCTCCAGCCACGTTGCAGACAATGGCGACATCATCGTCGTGTTCGGCCCTCATGTCGGCATCTCGATGGAGGGCGAGGTGGGCAAATACCTGCGCGAGGGCCAGAGTGCCAAGTCGACTGCATGCGGCGCCGTCATCGGTGCCTATAAAGCGTGCCTCTGTGGCGCAGCCGGCACGTCGCCCGAGATGGACGAAGCGGATATGCAGATGAGCGAAATCAAGCAGGAGTTCGCCCCCCACGCGGAGAAGCTGTCCAAGAGCAGCGAGCCCATGGCCGCGTGCGCCTACCAGGCGTACGAGATGGTCAAGGACCGTATGCTGCGCATCGTCAATACCAAGTTCGGAAGCGGTCGCCTGGTGCTGATCGGGGGCATCCAGCTGAACATGCCGTACCCGGAGTTCGACGACCATTTTTTCCCGCTCATGTTCGAGATCCGCCAGGAGGGCAAGGACACCATCGACCTTATGAGTTCATTCACCAACGTGGCCATCCAGCAGGACCTGACGCGGTCGCCCTGGGCCTCCGTAGGGGCACAGCGAGAGGTGTTTGCGTGGCTCACTTGGAGCCCGCCGGCGGTGTCGCCCGTGTACCAGGCGCTGCACAAGTTCTTCCCCGACGCTCTTCCGGGCGAGGCGGTCCACCGGCGGTCCACGCTGATCCTCGAGAGATACGGTTTCAAGTCCCAGAACACGCTGCTGGGTACCTCGTTCTGCTCGGATGAGATTAACAATCAGTCCGACTGCCTGGCCGTGCTCCTGCAGGACTACTGGGGCGACGTGTTCCCCATGGGCGGCATCAGCGGCACGCCCTTCACGGGGAGAACTGGTTTCGCTGCGTTCTCCAGCCACGTCGCCGACGAGGGCAACATTCTGGTCGCCTTCGGGCCGCACGTCGGCATCTCCGAGGACGGCGAGGTGGGCAAGATCCCGCGCAAGGGCCAGGCCAACATCTCCTCGGCGTGCGGGGCGGTGATCGGCGCCTACAACGCGTGTCGCTGCGGCTGGACCGAGGACAGCTCGGACGCGTCGGGCTACGACATGCAGATGGACTTCTGCAAGCGTAAGATCGCGCCCCACGCCGATGCCATCGCGAGGACGGAGAACCCGATGGCCGCGCTGGCCCACCAGTCCTACCAGATGGTCAAGGACCAAGGGTGTCCGCGGTTCCGCCGGTTCGGCTGCGTCGTATTCTGTTGCGTTCGGTCGGCTAGGTTCGGCGGGCTGTTGCGTGATGGTTGCGCCGCTGCGCCTCTTTAGGCTCCTTGCGGTCTGTCGGTTTCGGTCGGTCTCGGTTTCGCTGTCTGTTCGGGCGGTTTTCGGTTGCGCTGTCGCAGTGGACAGCCTCGAGGACTCCATGATGAGCTCCGTCAACACCAAGTTCGGGAGCGGCTACTTGTGTCTGCTTGGGGGCATCCAGATCAACATGCCCCCCGGTATCCCCGATCACTTCTACCCCGTCACGTTCGAGCTTCGCAAAGAAGGCGAGCCGACTATCGACCTGATCCAGGAGATGCGCGATTTCAGCTGAGAACAGGCTGTCGCGCTGTGAATTATCCCTTACACGACTGCAGCACCGTGCACGCGCGGCGACTCGCAGACATCACCGCGCGGAAACTATCCGCCGCACGGGGTGTAAGTAAATTCGTTTTTTATATAACCAGAAGCGTGCTGCACTTAGGAGTGGGTTCTAAATCCAGTTCCGAAGAACATATGTTGGGAAGGCCTTGCGGCTGGTGCCGCCAACCATGAAGGGGGACGACGACCACAACGGCGGCGTCGGCGGCGACGACGACGCTGATGTGGGGCATATTCCTCAGGGATGCTTCGTGGGGCCTCTTCGGAGCGCGCTCGTAGGCCTCTGGGAGGCAGTTTTGTGGCCCCGCGGGAGCATCTTGGATCAAAGAAAGGTAAGGGGCTCCCCTTCGACTCAACTACGACGTTGCTCAATTTCGCTTTGGTTTCGCTTGTTCGGCTCGCTTGAAGAGAGGAGCGGAAAGAAGGGGGTGGGGGAACGGCAACGGTCCCAGGGAACTGCAGTGCCAAAGAACATGTGTGATCGATTTCACTCTTCGAAGGCAAACTCTCATCCTAGACAAAGGAGGCCCAAAGTGGCCACAGCAAAGTCTGGCTCTCTTTCTGCGCTGGCAGGCACTCTTCCGAGACAAGGTAGGCCCAAGGTGGCCACACTTTCGGCGCTAGTCTGGCCGAGAAGGAGGTCAGGGGCGCAGGCAGGATCCGTGCATCTGGTCTCGTGAGCCCAGGGGGGAGATCGGGCTGCGTGCTGCCGTGCGCCGCCTCCCCGATGCTCCCCCTGTCGAGGGGCGTCCGGGTGCGTGCGGCCGCGCGGCGCCTCCCCGACGCTCCCCTTGGCTCCTCGGGCTCGGACGTTGCCGAGTTTGTGCCCGTAGCCCTCGGGGCTCAGATATGCTCTTGCGAGGGTCAAGCCGAGCCTCCTCAAGCACGTACCCCAAAGGATCAGCCCGCGTGCCTGGCACTCCAGCTGCTCGCGGGTGAAGGGCCCTGTTCTCTCCGGCTGGTGCCACACAAGAGATCCGTCGACAAGCTGTCCGATGACGCGCTGAAGCGTCAAAAGAAGCTCGACGAGCGCGCCCGTGCGCGCGAGGAGACCGCAGCCGGCACCCAGCGGCTGTTCGAGGAGCACCTGAGCAGCGTCCCCGGCGTGGCCTCCCAGGTAGACAGGGGAAGAGTCCTCAACGCCTTGCACGATGCAGCCAACAGGGACCAGATCACCATCGCTGGCCGGGTCGAGGCCGATCCCCTACCCGCCGTCCTCGTCTGCCAGGCGGTCTTCGCTGCCACCGGCGCCAGCCCTGGCGCTTCCTCCAGCCCCAGTTCAGCCGCTGCGGCTGCGTGATGCCGCGGCCGAGGGACGAGGACGAGGACGAGGACGAGGAGGAGGATGATGAGGAGGAGGCTGGAGGATGGACAGGCGAGGTGCAGCTGCCGACGCTGGCGGATATGACAGCGATCGTGGCGGCTGCTGCAGCCCTCGCGGCCGCTCCGCTGCCACGCGCAGCTGTGGCGCCACAGCCGGCGGCTGATCGGGGGGGTGACCTGGATTTTATCATAGAGCTGAGCATGGTCATCAACCTTATGGACGCTGAGGCCGAGATGCATGGAGGCGTTGTCGTCTACGAGGAGCAGTTCCAAGCCAGGACGCCGGCCGAGGTGCAGGCGGCGGCCACCTCCCACGAGGCCGCGCTTGCTGAGCACGTCGCCGAAAACGGGGCCCTGGCGCAGACTGAGGTCGACCTGGCCTTCGCTGCTGTGCAGGCCCGTGAAGGGCAGTTGGTGGCCGAGTCTATGGCCATCGCAGGTCAAATGGAGGTGCACTGCAGGGCACAGGCCCGGGAGGAGCTTCGACAGTACGAAGCGACATGGCTACAGCAGAGCACTTAGGACCAGCGCGCGTCCATGAACAGGTCCGTACATGAGCTTGAGTTCTTCTTCTACGGCATCTTTCGCCACCGGGTGCAGGATATGCAGGAGGAATACCACGGCCACCACCGTGCCGCGACGGCCGAGATGAAGGCCGAGGGTCAATCAGAGCTCCTGAAGGCTGAGGCGCACATAGGCGTTGCTTGCCACAGGATGCAGGCCGAACTTCGCCGCGAGGCCGCGGAGGTCGCCTCCGTGCGCGCGCACAAGCTGGTGAACGCGACTCCGTTCGTGCAGCACGCTATGAAGCGCGCCGCCATGATTCACAGGAGGACCAGCTCGAGTCCGAAGTTGATGAGGCTAAAGGTGCCAGTTGGGCCGAGATGACCGACCAGGACGCCTGGCTTCGCGGCGAGCCCCGCGCAGCCGACGAGGCGATTGTCGCGACGAAGGCAGAGGCGCGAGAGGAGACCGCCGCCTTCCGTGAGACCGCGCAGATCCGTCGACGAGTGGGCGACTTCGCTCGACCAGCAGAGGTGTTCCCAGCACCGAGCCCTCGCCGAGGCGGAGAACGAAGCCGTCGCCGAGCTGCAGGGCGCCCAGTCCGAGCTACAGCGGTGCGCCCCGGAGGCGGAGGCGCTCAAAGAGGCGGCGGTGGCAGCCAGCGAGCACAAGCCGGCGCGAGCCGCCCGTCGCGCTTGGTCCGCGGCTCCGCCCTCAAGGAGCCCAGTGCCCACAGGGGCGCTGCAGATAACGCCCATCACGCTGCCCACAGTCCTGGGTGCGCAGCTGCGCATGCAACCGCGACTTGATGGCGCCTCTCCCGAGGGCGCCATGCCCATGACGAGCTTCGGGGCGCCCGGGAGGTTTCCTCATTGGCGGCTCCGTGGCCCGCCGGCTCGCCGAGTCAGGCCGCGACAGGAAGCCAGCCGCAGCCGATTCTGGAGACCAGCGCGGCCGACGGCGCGAGCTGCGATGAGGCGTCGGGCGAGAAGTTCACCTGGGAGCGCACTCGGGTGACGCAGATCGACCTCAACTCACTCGCCTCCGGCGCCGACGGGATGCAGGAAGGGGGTGAACGCTGCGTGCGCGGCATGCGCCGCTGCATCAAACCGATTGCCGCGCTATCCGGTGCCTCGAGTTCGCCGAGGAGTTCAACCAGCTAGATATCAGGCCGCTCCTGGAGGTTCCGAGGAAGTGGAAAGCCTCTGACGAGGAGCTCTTCGGCGAACTCATGCGATCCCTGTTGACCTGCTGGGAGGAGCGCTATTGGAATGGGTGCGAACCGTCTGGCAGATATGCGGTTCATTGCGCATTCAAGAAGTTCGCTCTCGAACGCGGCACCGCGACCCATGTCGACACCTCGACGCTCATGGCTCATGGGTGCATGGGCGTTCTCAGTCTGTGCGGAGACGGGTTGAACGCGATCCTCATGCAGCTGATGGGCCCGCCCGGGGAGACGTTATTGCACGCGTGTGTGGAGCCGCATCTGCACAGGTGTTGGACTTCGACTTCCAGCTCTATGACAGGGCGGCTGGCGGCGCCGCGGAGAAGGCGCTGCAGTGGCTGCGAAATGTGGCGCGCGCCAACGATCGACGCAAGCAGCTGCGCGAGGTCTGGGGCGCTCACCTCGAGCCCAGCCCGATGGTCACGCCGGTCAGCGGCAAAGGCGACACCGCGGGCGATAGGGGCCAGGGCGACGTGGTCAAGATGGCATGCGACAAGATGGTCGAGGTGGCAGCTGCAGCGCCAGCAAGGACTGCCGGGTCGCGCATTCGGGCCCGAAGTTCGACGCAAGGCCAACGCCGAGGCGAAGCCCGAGACGCAGCCTAAGCCGGCCGCGTCGCCCAAGCCGCGAGATGAACCGCCGGCTGGCGCAGGCTCTGACGGCGGGCCCGCGAGCAAGGAACAACGCGTGCAGGTTCGGGGACAATTCGTCTTCCGGCACTGCTCCGAGCCGCCGCTAAGCGGCGGCCAGAAGGCGATCGAGCTAGGCGAGCCTGCAACGAGGCCACCGCCTTCTCCCCTCTTCCCTCCGCTGCCTAACCCAGCGCCTCGGGGGCGCCGAGGAGGCAGATGATCTGCAGTGTCAGCCCGGCCGCGTTCGACGAGTGGGCGCTGGGCGCAGCCGCCGCGTTGGGCGTCGCGAGCTCGAGCGTCGGCGGCGCGGAGGGCTGGCGGCGCGTGGCTAACCCTGCGCCGGTGTTAATCGCGCCATTAGGGTCATAATGTTCCGGGCCCTGGGGGGTGAATAATTTGTTCACGGGGATCTCGAGGTCGAGATGCGCGATGGGTCTAAAATGACATCCGAGCTGATCTGGAGAAGCTTTCCCTTGGAGCTTGTTTGAAAGAGCTGGGTGGGCGCGAGTCCTAAACGCAGCGCGATGGTAGAATATTGCGCCGGTCGCTCTTGGGGGGCCTGCCTGCCGGGGGAGGAGGGCCAGGGGGGAATGCAAGAGAAATCAATGGTTCGGACCTATCGCATTCAACGTGTAAAGCTAATGGTTTGTATGTGGTTTTCTACGTGTCGCGCAGGGGTGCTGGTGGCTCCTCTTTGGGCTGAGGCGACGGGCAAGTTCATCTCGGGCGCGTTCGGCGATGGCGGCGATGAACGGCAGGTTTCCTGTTTCGGTCCCATCCGACTTCTTTCGTTTACGGGGTCCTATGCTCACCGCGATATAGCAGGCGTAGCACTGGGGCGCCGCGCGGGGCCGCGACCCACGTGAGAGGTGCGTCGGAAAGGGGGTCTCTGAGAGGGTGGTGATGCCGACGAAGAGTGCTGATGATGATAACAAACGCTCCTCATGATACAATTATTCAGTGCACGATTCGTGTTTCCCCTGGTGGCGATGAAGTTCGCCCGCGCCGCTCCGCCCGCCTATCACATTTAAGTGCCCCGTGGATAATCGTGACTCAGGGATTGGGGGGGTGCTCTATCGTCGAGGGCGCGCGGCTGCTGAGGTTTGGGCTGCAGGGGGTGCTATCGGATCAATCGGGGCGGTCGCGACCGACGTGGGCTCGATGGGGGGGGGGGCCGTCGCGGCCGCTGCGCCGCCGCGCGCGCCGAACTCGCTTGCGCTCGATCGGAGGTGCGCTGCGATTGGCTTCGGCTTTTCTTGGCGCCCGTGCCAGTTGAGGCCAGATTTTTATTGGCCAGGCGGCCTGCATATCAATTGCGACGTCGACGAGCATTGTGCTCCCTTCGTCCGCTCCCGCGCGTTGGCGGTGGCGGTGGTGGTTGCAGCCGGGTGGCGGCGCCTGTCGCACTTCCAGACGATTGGCGATTCTGGGCCCGCCGATCCCCCCATGCAGCCTATGCTGTGCGACGGGCCTGCGATCGCCCCGGTCCCGGGGCCAGCAGA